AGCCCGCGGGGCATTTCAAGCACCGAATGGCTTGAAAGCACCTGCGGGCTGTCAGCTCGCGGAGCATGTCAGCTCGCGGGGCATGTCAAGCACGAAATAAGTACAAGTTAGAATGGAAGCCGGCACAAATCCCGAACAAAATTTGGTCCAAACTCCCGACCCGAACCCTACACTCTATGTATCAACCGTAATCCCTAAACCTAAACTGTAATCCCTAAACACTAAATACAACACGAGGAAATAGAGTGCCATAATCCCTAAACCCTAAACACAGGACAGGAAAAAGAGCGTTCTGAAGCATGAGCTGGCAGCATAGTGGCCAGACTTAACCTCTCAAGACGGGGTGGGCCGCTTTAAGGGGGTGAATCGAGTTTAGGGGTTCAGGGTTATATATGTAGTATGGGGTTATATAGGGTTATTTAGATTGGGTAGGTTATATAGGACAGTATGGGATGTAGGGTTATATATGGTAGTATGGGGTTCTAATGTATGTATATATGTATATATGTATATATGTATTTATATGTATACTCTTGTCATGGGGGGGGGGTCATGTAATATGTGGATTATAGTGTATTGCACAGGAGACTTTCTGATCAATCCAGATCATGCTTACCATCGTTTCTTGTATTTGCTGCCCATCACGAGTCCATGGTCACAAGCTGTCTATGAACGTCTTTACGGCCTAGCCCTACATCCCATATTGTCCGATATAACCTACCCAATCTAGATAACCGTATGTAACCCTATAAAACCCTATATAAAGCTATCTAGCCGTATATAAACCTATATAACCCCATATAAACCTATATAGCCCCATATATCCCAGTAGCCTTGTTTTAGGAGCATGGTTTTCTGGAATGCCATTCTTCGGTGCTGCCAGGTGAATGCTTGCTGGGCTCCTGCATTTTTCCACCGCATTACTATATCACTACTGTTACTATTATACTACTATTGCTACTGTTACTATCATTACGATGATTACTACTGTTACTACTAGTACGATTATTACGATTATTACTAATGTTATGATTACGATTATTACTGTTACTATAACACAATTCCTTCGAGCTTTTGCTGTACCGAGTGCACGCGGCGACCAGCTTCTGGTAAATCTAGCAGAGCTTTTCAGGCCAGTGCTAAGCTCGTCCTTGCATGAAATAAAATGACTCGTTGGCGCCAAGTAGGGAATTAGGGCATGGCTCTCAGCAGTATGACACCTGTAGTAACCCCTATACCCCATTCCCTCCTACAGGAAAGGGAGACGAGCCTGTCTTCAGTCTATTCTAGTAGTGGTCCCCTTATTTACATGTTATCCTCAGCCACATGTGGAAAAGCCAACCTTGCAGATTGCATGGGCTAAGCATTCTGACAAGCAGGCAAATCATCTTCACATCTATGTCAGGCACATCCCTAAACACGATGTACCTAATCCATCTGGCCCTGGTTGAGCCCTACTTTCATAGAATCTGATGAAAAAAATCAGGCCCCATTTCCCCCCCCCCCCCCCAACCCAAAACCCAAAACCTTGTCTTTCTGTATCCCCTCTTCGCAGCCTCCCGGGGATCCGTATTGGGCACATGCCTGGGCTGCGTTTAGGGTTTAGGGTTTAGGGTCAGGGTTTAGGGTTTAGGGTTGCTGTTGGGACGGTTAGTGCTTGACACAAGGTACTGTTGACGTTGAGCCTTGGCATGGCTTCAAATTGAGCGGGCACATTACGACACAGTAGTGTTATCTGTACTACTTATAAATGCTACGGGAATCCACAGGATTTTGCCTGGCGGTTATGATGGAATACGGGAACATAATCCCTATATATAGTATTTCCTTATTCCCTACTAACCACCAATAAGTCATTTGAGTTTTGCCTACCTAGGTCTGACGATAAGCTTGGAGTGAAGAAAGCGTTCGCCAGAATACTTATGGCTTTACATATGGGCCACTCCATGCGTAATCCCGCCCCTTCTCGGGCGACTCATAACATAGCTTTATGACCGATTTGCTATGCATTCATTGTCGCAGAACACGGATATGTAGACACTGGGCATCAAAAAAGCCCCAACCCGGACCCGGGACCCTCGAAAGTCCCAAACCCTGACCGCCAAAATCCTCCGCCCCCTCAAGCCCCACATCCCATAAAAGCCCAAACCCTAAATCCCTCAACCCGCTGAATCCCTAAAGCCCTCCAACCCTTAAATCGAGAAGTTCTTTGCAGCCTAGATCCCCCTCAAAAACCCCTATAATGCTCCCCTACATAACCCCCTTCAAGGTCTTCAGACTACAGCTCACATTCCTGAACCCTTAGCCCTAAAGCCCTAAAGCCCTTGTGAATCCCAGGTTGCAGCTCCGTCTCTGGGTCTGGCGTAAGCTGCTCGAGCCAGGACTGATCGGACTCCCTGGCGAGCCTCAGGCTTCCGAAGTGGGCCTTCCTTTACTTACTGGGGGTTAGCAGGAAACAAGGGAATGTAGTATAGAGCTTCGGGCTTAGGGTTTAGGGTTAATAGGGAATAACGGAATGTGCTGTATGGGGAATATGTACGCATCACATGCCCCTATTCCCTACGTACTAACCATCAGTAAGATCAGGGAGGTTTAGGGATTTACATACCTGCATGCATAAGGCCTCCAGAAATCAGGGACTTTTTTTCGGGCTCCCTATAATGATGATTCGTGTATTTGGGGGACTAGGGTAGGGCCCCAGTTTTTGGGAACCAACCACGGGACGTAGAATGAAAGGACATAAAGGGGTGTGTAGGGTACAGCAATAGTCCTGGGAGACCTTTAGATGTAATGACATAGAATAGCGTTTACAGGTCCTTAATTTTTTGGGATTGGGGTTCCAAAGCTTAGGGCTTGCTGAGGGGTTTAGGGTTCAGGGCTCAGGGGGAATAAAGGAGGATACACACCGCCGTAAAGTTATGAGGATTGCCCACGAAAAGCAGTCAGAACCAGCTGGACAGGTCAAATGAGTTTAGGGGAGGTTAAGACTTGCCTGCTACTTACGGGTGGGTAGTAGGGAATAAGGGAATCTATACATATTCAAACAGGCGATATAGGGACTGTGTAGGGATTATATAGCCCCCTTCAGAAGATGGAATATGGATTTGGGTAAATTATAATAAGATCTCTATATACCCCAAATTCTATCTACTTAAGGGGGACTATATTCCCGTCTTCCCTACTAACCACCAGGAAGGCGATGCTCTTGGGAACAGGTGGTAAAGTCTTATTGTTGCTTACACAGCTGTTAAAGCAACTAGCCATGCTTGTGGTAGTTTTCCAAAACAGGGGGACCCCCAATACAGACCCCAAAATGGTATAGTCCTTATTATGCGGACGCCAGAATGGTACCCCTAATTTTGGACACCCCCAGTATCGGCATCAAAGACGCCACCTTTCGTGCATGAGGACGTGGTCAGTTATTTTGCTGCGAACAGTACTTCCTCTCAACCTTCCTATACCTTGTGTTTTGAGCCCTCTGAAGATGTAGGGTTTGGGGAGCCCAAGAGGGCATATCTGGTTGAGGAACGAAATCCTGCGCGGCCATGAGTATGGTATGCCAACATTTCCTGCTTGGGTGGACCAGCTCAAAAGCGAGGTACCCTTAAATTCAGGAGTTCTACCTCCTGTGAATCATGTGATTGAGGACTTGTTTGCCGAGAGTCAGCGGCAGGAATGGATCCCAAACAAAAGATAACTCTCAATGGTTTGGGAGGGTGTTGGGGATGACACACCGATACCCACGAATGCCGTTTGAGAGCCCAGGGTCTAGGGAACATTAGGGTTCTTGTCATGAGGAACCCCAAGTTAAATAGACATAAGCACTTTGTTGAGACCCATCTCCCACTTCGTGAGTCCCAACGCGGCGGAGTCTAGTTACAACAGACATCCTTTAACTCAGCTTCCTCTATCCCTATAGTAGTTTCCAATTCATCTTCCATTATCCCTATTAAACGTCTGCATACAATGGTAGTTTCCAATATATTTTCCATTACCCCTATATTGCCCCACCTTTTGAACCCTCTGAAATCTCCACCACGCAGCTGATTTAGTCGTTCCAGGCTCTCCGCCGTCTGAGTCGCTCGCCGGAGGGTGCTGGACTTGCCTTTTACATCCCTCTGGGGTTACATAGGAATGATGGACAAGAAAATGGAAACTATTATAGTATGTAGGGGTTATATGAAGAGGTTATATAGGAATAAAGGAAAAGAAAATGGAAACTACTATAG